GAAGAAAAGAGTGAAAAATATGGTTGCATCAGCAGAAATCGAGTATTCGAGCACTTACCACATAAACAGTCTGGTGTGCCAGCAGCTGCTCAGCCGGCGAACCCGGTGTTGCGATCCGTGGCTCGCCCACTGCACTTCCTGTGCGGAGTATCGGAACTCCAGGCCTGATGATTCATGGCCAGGAGTGAGCACGCTTGGCGACAGGTTTGACGGTGCTATGCCCGGCAGGATAAACGTCAAACGAACACCGCGATGCCAGGTGGGGCCGCCTCCGAAGGCCAGTCAGACCAGGGCCTGCCTCCGAGGCCAGAACCGGTAGGCCAGACAAAGAGGAGATCAGCAGCCTGCACAGGTGGAGGCATCAGCTTAACCGGTCTGTGAGACTGCACTTTGCACCTGTGGGAGGCAGAGAACAACAAGAGGAAGGAAATATCAATCATTAAGTGAACACATAGAAAATTCACTGAGAAAGCGAAAAACACACAATAACTTCAACACCATCCTCTCACCTGCGTGGCAGCCCGAGACACACCCCCTCACTGCAACGAACCAGCCGTATTCCGGTGATGCCCAGGGTGGAAGATGGAGCAGTGCAAGACCACAGCAAGAAAAACACCTGCTAGACAGGCAGGGCTGTGCATTTATGTGCCCATCATCAAAGGCTCCTCAAAAGACGCTCCTATAATTCCCACTGTCGCCAGATACCAGATGCGGCTGATCCCCCTTAGCTAGTCAAAGACGAGTTTATGCTGCAGACAGATGGTATAGATGAATGATGATGATGATAATAACGTACACAGATCGAAGGGAAGGAAAGAGAAAAAAACATTCCTAAACCACAGATGACATGAAGTAATTGCGACTATGACAAACAAACACTGGGTTCTTCATAGTATAGACATAAATGGAGCAAGTCCCCTCTACCTATTCTCAAGCGAGTGAAAGTTGATTGGCTTGGCGGTTGTGGCACCGGTTCACCTACAGGGTGTTTGGTTGTGTTATAGGTGTGTCCATGCTCCTCCAAACACTCCTACAGACAGTCTGTTAAACGCAGGAAAACGTTTTTCCAGTTTCGATTAT